TGATGGAGAAGACTGTCTACAAGGTAAATCATCAGAATTAAGCCTTGGAAATTATACAATAATAATAATAATAATAATAATAATAATAATAATAATAATAATAATGGTTTGATAGGGAATCATGGGATTTGTAGTTTGATAGAGAAGGCTAACTAAAATGTAAACCTTGGAAATTATATAACAACAACAATAATACCATGGAATCGTGAGCGTTGCAATGCAAAAAAATATCCGATGACCGGAATAATCAATCATAATACTAAAAAAAGGGATGCCTCGCGATCACAGCGAACAGACGGCAGCTCCCGTTAATATAATTCCCTGATCCCTTTGGAAAAAGGCTCAGCGGAGTTCATCCTCCCCAAATCCCCCAGGGCTTTTCTCAAAAAATCCCGTGCTTTGCGTGCCTCACGCTCGCTCGTTCACTCGTTCGCTCAAGAGGAATTGCCCGGTGGCCCTTTCCCTCCTCTTCTGTCAAAAGGCTCAATTCATCTTTGGTGTGCCTTTGGATTCCAAGAAATGAGATCCTCTCTATGCTCTTCCCCTCAAGATGTTCTTCTTCCTAAGGTTTAGGAGGAATCCCTTTGTCACTTGAATCCATCAGTTGGTGTTTTAGTCTCAGGAGGAGCTTGCTCTATCCTCGGCATGGTTGCTCCTCCAATCTTCTCCAAGTGAAACATCTCAACCACCTTCATTGTTCCTCACCTTCTGCTTCATCGTGGATCAATCTTCTCCAAGCTGACCATCCTAACCGTTGTTCCTTGGCTTTGCTCCTCAACCTGAGCTTTCTCCTCTTTTTCCTCTTCCATCTCAGATCCACGTTCACCAGGCTTTTCTCCTCCATCGCAAGTCACCCTTCTCCAAGCTAAAGATCTCAATTCTTCTGTAATTCCTCACCTTTGCCTTTCCTTCTCTTCCTCCATCACAGGTGAATCTTCGCCAGTCTAGACACCTGAACGTTGGGACATTGTTCCTCACCTTGCCCTTTCTCCTCCTCTTTCTCCATCAAAGGTCAACCTCTTCTCCAAGATCATCTTCTCTTCTTCTCCCTCTTCCATCATAAGTCAATGTTCTCCTAGCTAAATAGGAGAACATTGACTTTCTCCTCCTCCTCCATCATAGGTCAACCTCTTCTCCAAGAGAACCACTCAACTTCTGTTGCTCTTGTGCTTTCTCCTCCTCTTCCACCATAAGTCAATGTTCTCCTAGCTAGTCCTTACCCTGTCCTTTCTCCTCCTCCTCCTCCTCAATCATAGGTCAACTTCTTCTTCAAGAGAACCACTCAACTTCTTCTGTTGCTCTTGTGCTTTTTCCTCCTCTTCCATCATAAGTCAATGTTCTCCTAGCAAAATAGTCCTTACCTTGTCCTTCTGCTCCTCCTCCATCATAGATCAACCTCTTCTCCAAGATCATCTTCTCTTCTTCTCCCTCTTCCACCATAAGTCAATGTTCTCCTAGCTAAATAGTCCTTACCTTGTCCTTTCTCCTCCTCCTCCTCCTCCTCCTCCTCCTCCATCATAGGTCAACCTCTTCTCCAAGAGAGCCACTCAACTTCTTCTGTTGCTCTTGTGCTTTCTCCTCCTCTTCCATCATAAGTCAAAGTTCTCCTAGCTAAATAGTCCTTACCCTGTCCTTTCTCCTCCTCCTCCATCATAGGTCAACCTCTTCTCCAAGAGAACCACTCAACTTCTTCTGTTGCCCTTGTGCTTTCTCTTCCTCTTCCACCATAAGTCAATGTTCTCCTAGCTAAATAGTCCTTACCTTGTCCTTTCTCCTCCTCCTCCATCATAGGTCAACCTCTTCTCCAAGAGAACCACTCAACTTCTTCTGTTGCTCTTGTGCTTTCTCCTCCTTTTCCATCATAAGTCAATGTTCTCCTAGCTAAATAGTCCTCCTCCCTCATAGGTCAACCTCTTCTCCAAGAGAACCACTCATCTTCTTCTGTTGCTCTTGTGCTTTCTCCTCCTTTTCCATCATAAGTCAATGTTCTCCTAGCTAAATAATCCTTACCCTGTCCTTACCCTCCTCCTCCTCCATCATAGGTCAACCTCTTATCCAAGAGAACCACTCAACTTCTTCTGTTGCTCTTTTGCTTTCTCCTCCTCTTCCACCATAAGTCAATGTTCTCCTAGCTAAATAGTCCTTACCTTGTCCTTTCTCCTCCTCCTCCACCATTATCACATATCAATCTTCTCCAAGATAAATGCCCCAGTGTCCTTCACTGTTCTTCAACTTGTGCCTTCTCGTCCATTATAGGTCAACGTTCTACAGGCTTTGCTCCTCACCTTGTCCTTTCCCCTCCCCCTCCCCCTCCTCCATCATAGGTCATTTTTCTCCAAGCCAACCATCCAACTTTGCTCTATTGTTCCTCTCCTTCTGCTTTGCTCCTCATCTTGTCCTCTCTCCTTCATTGTAAATCAATTTTCTCCAATGTTACCTTCCCCAATTTGTTCCTGTGCTTTCTCCTCCTCCATCATAGGTCAACATTCTCCAGGCTTTGCTCCTTACTTTGTCCTTTCTGCTCCTCCTCCATCATAGGTCATTTTTCTCCAAGCCAACTCTCCAACTTTGCTCTATTGTTCCTCACCTTCTGCTTTGTTCTCCCTTTTGTCCTCTCTCCTTCATTGTAAATCAGTCTTCTCCAACGTCACCCTCCCAGCTTTGCTCCTCAACCTGTGCTTTCTCCTCCTCCATCATGGGTCACCGTTTTCCAGGCTTTGCTCCTCACCTTGTGCTTTCTCCTCTTTCATTATAAGTCAGTCTTTTCCAAGGTGACCTTCCCAACTTTGTTCCTCAGCTTGTGCATTCTCATCCTTCATCACAGGTCCATGTTCTCCAGGCTTTTCTCCTCACCTTGTCCTCTCTCCTCCTCCATCACACAACTTTGCTCTGTTGTTTCTCGCCTTCCGCTTTGTTCCTCACCTTGTCCTCTGTCTTCCTTCATTGTAAATCAGTCTTTTCCAAGGTCACCCTCCCAACTTTGCTCCTTAACCTTTTCTTTCTCTATCACAGGTCCATGTTCTCCAGGTTTTGGCCTCACCTTGTGCTTTCTTCTCCTCTCCCTCCAGGTCCAGCTGGGAGCTCCCGGACCTGCTGGAGGGCAAAATCCAGGCAATCAGTGACTCAGATGGGGTCAACTACCCCTGGTACGGCAACACCACGGAGACCTTCACGCTGGTGGGTCCCTCCAAGAAGGAGACCAAGTTCAGTGTCAGTATGAATGACAACTTCTACCCCAGCGTGACCTGGGCCGTGCCGGTGAGCGACAGCAATGTGGCCAAGTTGACCCGCATCCACCGGGACCAGAGCTTCACTACTTGGCTGGTGGCCACCAACACAGCCACGGGGGAGATGGTGGTTCTGCAAACCATCAAGTGGCGGATGAAGCTGGGCATCGAGGTCAACCCCCAGCGGCCCCTGGGCCAACGGGCCAAGCTGGAGGAGCCTTCTGCACAGGAGCAGCCACAGGTCCTGAGCAAGAACGAGCCCATCCCGCCCAGTGCCCTGGTCAAGCCCAATGCCAACGACGCCCAAGTGCTCATGTGGCGGCCCAAGGAGGGGCGCCCCCTGGTGGTCATCCCCCCCAAACACCGGTAGCGCGGAGGAAAGGGAGGGACGGGCAAGGCCCACTCACTCTGCATTAAAGAGAAAAAGCATCTATTTCAGAGGCACTTTTAGACTCAAACAACCATAACGGTAACAATAATAATAGTAATAATAATGCAACCATTCTACCTTGACCCGATAGAACGGATCTCACTGTGCTCCCCAACGACCCCCCGAGTTTATAACAAAAGGGGGTGGGCATTTACCTGACATCGCTGCATTTTTACAAAAAGGGAGAAAATACACGGATATACACTTATTTCCAGCTTTACGTTTGCTTTAACGACAGACCCACCTTCCCTTGGGTTAACGTTTCAAGTTCAGTCTCGTTTATTGAGAGAAAGGGGAGACGGATGTGTTTTTCTTTTGGTGCTTTTCAATAGGGGAGAGTTTATTCGAAATACATATCATGTTGGGAACTAAAAGAGATCATTTTTAATATATATATAAAAAGATATATATCTATATCTATATATATATATATGGGGGACGGTGACACGGGTGGAAACGACGGGTGTTTTCTAACGGCAAACCCAAATCACGCGGCCTTATGTAGATTTTGCGTTGCGTTGCCAAACTTTTGCCTTAAGATACGTTTCAAAAAAGGGGGGAAGACAAAGACAGGAAGGAAGAAGGAAGGAAGACACATCTACTTTTCCTTCACCTTTTGCTCCAGTCGGATGTTATGACAGACCGTAGATGGATCCACATCATTTTGTGACATTTTCCTGCCTGGAATTCAAGAAAAATCAGGATTATTTTCACTCAATTATTGCATTCCAATGTTTTCTCAGCCTTTCCCTCCAAATCTTATTTGTGGCGATTTTCTGTGTGTGTTTTGTTTTGGTAACATTTGAGAGTTTGGGTTTTCTTTAGTGCTGGGATATGAATCTCTGCTAACTGTGTAACCAAGACTCTGCAGCCTTCGTTGTTCTCATCCCATAATTCAGGATCAGAATCAGGAGTCATTTTTTTTGGCCAAATAGACATTGCCCTATTATGTACTTTGAAACAACATTATATATAGTAAGTATAGACTAATATAATGCAATATAAACACACTGAACTCCATTATATGAGTGTACACTGACCATATAATGCAATTTCAAAGTCTCTGTCCCATGGACCATCTTGGCCTAGACCCATTTCCTCCATGTCAGCCATATTAATAGTATGCATCTACACTATTATATAATGCAGACTGAATCTGGGTCAAGTGTTAAAGACATAGATTGCAGTTTCAAACTCAAGGAGCGGCAGGTAAGAAATATATTAATAATAATAATAATAATAATAATAATAGAAAATGAAAATAAATAACAATAATAATGATAAACAATTATAAAATGTAATAATGATTGAAAATAATGAACATATATAATAAAATTAAATAATATTAAGTATTAAATAACATTAAATAATAGTAATTTTTAATAATAGAAAATAATGAAAATAAACGATAATATTTTAAAATAGTAATAATCATAAAATGCAATAATGATTGAAAATAATGAACGTATATAATAGAGTTAAATAATATTATACTAATAATGATGATGATAATATAAATATTAAATAATGAATAACAATCATAAAATGCAATAATAATTGAAAATAATGAATGAATATAATAAAATTAAATAATATTAAATAATAATTGAAAATAATATCAATGACATTATTTAAATAATTAAGTAATAATAATCATAAAGTATCAATAATCACTACCTCTGAGGATGCTTGCCATAGATGCAGGTGAAACGTCAGGAGAGAATGCCTCTAGACCATGGCCATATAGCCCGAAGAAACCTACAACAACCCAGTGATTCCGGCCATGAAAGCGTTCGACAATACAATAATCATAAAATGTAATAATGATTGACAATAATGTACACGTATAATAACATTAAATAATTTTATGAATAGTAATATATTAAATAATATATTAAATATAATAATGATAATTGATAATATGGTCCTGTGAATCCAGCTGTAGTGATGGAGTTGGCTCCCATTTGGCACCCTATTAGCAAAGCAGGAGCTGTGACTATGGTGCAATTAAAACGCCAAATTAAATTATCATCCGATTCAATATAATTGACATTGCAAAGCATCACCAACCTGTTTAATTAATTTTTTTTTTTGGTGGCAAAGCTTTCCTTGAACTCGGAACCCTCTTGAGAAATGAGGAATGTGCCAATCTGTAGGGAAGAGAGAGAGGGGATTAATTAATACCCAATTAGTCTGGAATATTTAATAAATAATAATAATAATAATATAGGAGAGGAGGAGGAGGTCATTTGCAGAGGCAGCTTCTGGCAGATAGTTAATTAAGCCAATGAGACAGCTGGGCCTCGTGCTGGAAGGTCACATTGGTGCCGCTTCGAAAATAAGCGTGCGAGGTGGCGGTGCTCTTGTGCGATGCACGAGGGCCTAAGAAGAGTTGGCATTCAAAGCTGCTTTTTGCACAGCTCTTGCTATCCTGTGTTGCTTTGCAGACAGGACTCTCTTATCAAGGGCTCCTTTTTAGCAAAGTGACTGATATGAACAGAGGCAAACACATGGAAGGAAAGCAATAGTATTATTATTATTATTATTATTATTATTGTATGATTATGAACCCCATAAGAAAAGGCACAAAACCAAGTCTCATTTGTGTGCATTCTTAATAGTAATAGTAATAATAATAATAATATACTAATATAATATATTAGTTTATTATTATTATTATTATTATTATTGTATGATTATGAACCCCATAAGAAAAGGCACAAAACCAAGTCTCATTTGTGTGCATTCTTAACAGTAATAATAATAATAATAATATACTAATATAATATATTAGTTTATTATTATTATTATTATTATTATTATTGTATGATTATGAACCCCATAAGAAAAGGCACAAAACCAAGTCTCATTTGTGTGCATTCTTAACAGTAATAGTAATAATAATAATATACTAATATAATATATTAGTTTATTATTATTATTATTATTATTATTATTATTATTGTATGATTATGAACCCCATAAGAAAAGGCACAAAATCAAGTCTCATTTGTGTGCATTCATAATAGCAATAGTAATAATAATAATAATAATATATTAGTTTATTATTATTATTATTATTATTATTATTATTATTATTATTATTTGATTATGAACCCTATAAGAAAAGACACAAAATCAATTTTTGGATGTTCTATATTGTTGTTGTTGTTCTTATTATTATTAGTAGTAGTACTTGGCCTAATATAAGTTCTCCCCTCAAACCTCATAAGAAAGGGTATTAATTGATGTATGTATTCACAGCCACGTCGAGTCCCCTTCAGGGTTGAGAAAAGCAGGATATAAGTATGGTAAATAAATAAAACTAAATAAACAATAAACAAACAAACAGCAACAGTAATAATCTGCTATACTTGGCCTAGTATAACTTCCCCTCTGGAACCCTATTAAAAAAGGCACAAAATCAAGTCTCATTTGTGTGCATTCTTCATAGTAATAGTAATAATAATAATAATAATATATTAGTATATTATTATTATTATTATTATTATTATTATTATTATTATTATTATTATAGTATGAACCCCATAAGAAAAGGCACAAAATCAAGTTTCATTTGTGTGCATTCTTAATAGTAATAGTAATAATATGTTAGTATATTATTATTATTATTATTATTATTATAGTATTATTATAGTATTATTATGAACCCCATAAGAAATGGCACAAAATCAAGTTTTTTTGGATGTTCTATGTTGTTGTTGTTGGTATTATTATTATTATGGAACCCCATAAGAAAAGGAACAACATTAAGTCTTTTTTGGTGGGCATTCTTAATAGTATTAATATTAACAATAATATTAATATATTATCATTAGTATATTATTATTATTATTATTATTATTGCATTATTATGAACCCCATAAGAAAAGGCACACAATCATGTCTTTTTTGGTGGGCATTCTTAATAGTATTATTATTAACAATAATATTAATGTATTATCAATAGTATTATAATATTATAGCATTATTATGAACCCCATAAGAAAAAGCACAAAATCATGTTTTGGGGGGTTATTATTATTATTATTATTATTATTATTATTATTATTAGTGCTGTACTTGGCCTAGAACCTCATAAGAAAAGGTACAAAATCTCGTCTTTTTTGTGTGCATTCAATAATAGTAATAATACTATAAATAATGGTGAGTGCTATATTTGGCCTAGTATAACTTCCCCTCTGGAACCCCATTAGAAAAGGCACAAAAATCAAGTCTTCTTTGGGGTGTTATTATTGTTATTGTTTATTATTATTATTATTATTATTGAGCACTGTGATGATGATGATTATTATTATCATTCTTATTAGTGCTGTACTTGGCCATGAACTCCATAAGAAAAGGTACAAAATCAAGTATTTTTGTGTGCATTCCATAATAATAATAATAATAATAATAATAATAATAATAATAATAATGGTGAGTGCTAATGGAAATTATACTTAGCCTAGTATAACTTCCCTTCTGGAACCCCAAAAGAAAAGGCACAAAATCAAGTCTTCTTGGGATGACTATGATTATTATTGTATTATTATTATTATTATTATTATTATTATTATTATTATTATTGTCAAAATCAATTCCTTTTTGTGTGCATTCCATATTAATAATAATAGGATCATAGAATCAAAGAGTTGGAAGAGACCTCATGGGCCATCCAGTCCAACCCCATTCTGCCAAGAAGCAGGAATATTGCATTCAAATCACCCCTGACAGATGGCCATCCAGCCTCTGTTTAAAAGCTTCCAAAGAAGGGCAATAGCAATAACAACAACAATAATAATGTGCTATATTTGTCCTAGCATAACTTCCCCTCTCGAACCATATAAGAGAAGGCACAAAATTAAGTCCTTTTTGAGGTAATGATAATAATAATAATAATAATTATTATTATTATTATTATTAGTGCCGTACTTGGCCATGAATCCCATAAGAAAAGGTACAAAATCAAATCTTTTTTGGGTGCATTCCATAATAATAGTAACAACAACAACATAAATAATGATGAATGCTTTACTTGGCCTAACAACAACAACATAAATAAATAAATAAATACATACATAAGTAAATACATAAGTAAATAAATAAATAATGGTGAGTGCTATCCTTGGCCTAGTATAACTTCCCCTCTGAAACCCCATAAGAGAAGGCACAAAATCAAATCTTTTTTGGGGTGTGTTCTTAACTATTATTATTATTATTATTATTATTATTATTATTTATACTCTGTTTTTTCTCTCCAAGCGGCTGACATGAAAGACCTTTTCAATGCCATAAAAAAAAAAACCAATGGTCGTCGTGAGAAAATCAAAACTCTTAAAACTCGTTTAAAACGTATTCAAATCTAATGATCACTCATGTTTATAAAGGCTTCTTCCAAAGCCTTTTGATCCAAACCTGAGCGGAGAGGTGGCCTCTATCGGGCAACGAGTGCCGTGAAGGCTCTCACAAAATAGAACCCGACGATCCTCTCCGCGTTCTCCGTAGGCAAAGGAGCGCATCTGCACTGATGGAATTAATGCGGTTTCGACACCGCTTTTTAGTGCTGCTTTCAGAAATGTCCCGGCTTCCCTTCTTTTCCTCCCACTTTTATTGCTGCAAGAGTGAATCGCTTTCCATTGCACAACGGGCAAAGCCCGAGTTCGTCTGCTTTTATCTACTGTTGGGGGTGAATGGAGTTGCACCCCGCTTTCAACCCCTGCCTCAATGCTATGGAACTTGGGAGTTATAGTTCCCCCAAAGGCTGCACTGACCCTGCAAAACGGATGCTGCGGTTTCCCAAAGGGAGCCTCTATTATGATTGCAGGGTGAACCCCCTGTTTACCTTTTAAATGCTTGGAGATATAGCTTTATTAAGAGCGCATCTACACTGTGGAATGAATGCGACTTGATGCCACTTTGAGCTCAAGGCTACGGAGACATGGGAGTTGTAGTTTGGTGAGACATCTCAGCAATGTAGAATGGGAGCCTGGAGCCATAAGGAGAGGTGGGTAATAATAATAGTACTAATAATAATAATTCAAATGGGGATCTAACTGCGTCGTTATTATCATCATCATCATTATTGTTATTATTATGCAGTTTGACCCCA